CCCTTTTCTTTAGCGATCCCAAAATGATTAAAAATAATTTTGAAAAGTAATAGTGTATGATTTAGGTTAAAACTCGTTTTAATTATTTCGGATGAATAATTACTAATAAATAAATTGATGTCTTTTTTTCAGTTTTCCATGTTAATTTAGTTTACTTCAAGCCTGATTTACATGCTGGTTATGGTGTTGTGGTCATTCTGCTATACCTGAGGATATGGCTCCCCCTAGAGTACTTTTACATCATTTTCAGGAAGTTATTTGCTCATATTAGACATAACGAAACATATTTTGTCAGTTTACATATACTAGGGTGACCATACGTACCATTTTCCCAGGACGCGTGTTTTTCCGAACATTTTAGTATTGGTTTTATATTATAATGTCACGTGGTTAAATAGTTTAATTAATTTAAATGGTTATTATTATTTTTTTTAATTCCTAGAAATTAAGCCTTGTGCAACATAAAGGGCATATATTTATGTCTATCTGAGTTAGTTTGGGCTCAAAACACAAAAGCCGCAAAGAGTTTAATTGGCAAAAAACCCGAATGTCTAATGAATGTCAAACGTCAAACTAACTTTTCCACCGTAGAAATCCTGGCCAGGACGGGTCCTGGGAAAATGGCACATATGGTCACCCTAATGACATATACCCAGCTGGTGCACATATAGCATGATAACAGCCACCTCTGTGCATGAATGTGCTCTGACTGGTCAATAAATCCTTTAATTTGCCTCAGAATCTGTTTCTGCAAAACTGCCATTTATAGTCTGCCCATTCTCTAGTGACTCGCTCTAAATGAATCCAGTCTCTCTGACAGACTCTCCCTATGCTACCAATTACAATGCTCTTTACACCCCTTCTGTTTTGCACCATATCCAGTAGGGGGTGGTTTTTTTTAGAATAAAGACGGTCTCTCCTGGTGATGATAGGATAGAGAAAGATGCAGCTGCTTTGGCAGGAGGCCTTATCTGGTGCCACAGTTTGTTCATGGGTAATCTACACTGTCACAATCAATCAGATCAGACCTTTCGCTTTGGAAGTGGTGCTCATGTGTGTGGTGCAGAAGCTAAATAGATTCAAAAACGTTTTTTTGTTTTTGTTTTTTTGGTGGTTGCAGGATGAAGTCAGAAAATATGTCTGGGCTATTTCTCTCTGTTACATTTTTTTGATTGTATTGAATAAATGGACAAAATGTATACCTTAAATACAATGCAAAGTGTCTGCCAAATACATAAAACAATATAATACAAACAACACCATTTGCATTACTTCTATCCATATGTACACATAACACCAATAAATAAATAAATAAAACTACAGAGATTTGATCAGAAAACCTTAGCATTTAAATATAATCATCCTATAATGACGTATTATTGGGATATACAGATATAACTTATATTTATAAGCATTTAATGTAAACAGACTGCTTTACTGTAAAAAAAATCTTTTGAATAAATGTCTTTGGGTCTCTGAATAACACTGATGTGTGTTTTTCCCCTGTGAGCTCCATTTTCTCACTGTATAAACCATATGAAAACTTTTTTCTTTCAATAAACAGTTCTTTTCAATAAATTAGATTTTTCTTACTGTCATTTCATACAATAGCTTATGTCAGGCTTTACAGGGTTAATATTCTTTTTTTTTTGCAGAACAATTAACTGTAGTAACCGTAGTATTTTGAAATAAACTATAGTAACCTTATATTTCTTTAAGGCACTCTACTGTCAGCTATCTCACACATTTTGGCAAAATACAGTCCATTGCATAGTGGTGTTGACAAAAAGCTTCCAGGCTGGAAGTTTGGTGACGGTGAGCCGCCTCCGTTTCTTTCAATAAACAGTTCTTTTCAATAAATTAGATTTTTCTTACTGTCATTTCATACAATAGCTTATGTCAGGCTTTACAGGGTTAATATTCTTTTTTTTTTGCAGAACAATTAACTGTAGTAACCGTAGTATTTTGAAATAAACTATAGTAACCTTTTATTTCTTTAAGGCACTCTACTGTCAGCTATCTCACATATTTTGGCAAAATACAGTCCATTGCATAGTGGTGTTGACAAAAAGCTTCCAGGCTGGAAGTTTGGTGACGGTAAAGGCGCCGCCTCCGTTCTGTTCTGTTATCCCTCCCCTTCCATCCTTTGCTCACATTGCTCTTCCCTTCGGTGGGAAAATTCCTGCTGGAACATCCACGGTGGATTTGAACTCGGGAATTGTATTGGAAAAGCAGGGATCTGCAACACACGCTGGAGGATTTTCTTCCATGTTCTTTCTTTTA